TTATCCATAAAAACTTGGTATGTTGTGTCCATTTTTTACTATAAAATTTATAATGTATTATGCAGTATGATATTAATTTTAATATTATTATCTAGTCTTCAGTCAATGTTTTGATTCAAGCAGGCATTGCAAAGATATCTGACTTTGGTCTGTCAAGTGTGCTAGCCCAAATTATGTCCACATCAATCAGTGAAGGTCATTTAGCATACAGAGATCCAGAATATTTTAAAAAGGCATCATATCAATATTGGGAAAAGTCTGACATTTTCAGCCTTGGAGTGATACTCTGGGAAATTTCCAGTGGAAAGACTCCATGTGAAGGTTGTACTCAAAATTATGAAATATATTTGTATAGAATTAAGATGTCGCGTGATGCTCCCTTATCTAAAACGCCACGAGAATATATTGACTTGTATTCCCAATGTTGGCATGAAGAAGCTGAAAAGCGACCATCTTGCAAACTGGTATATAAACAACTACAGAAATTATGCAAATCACCAGAAGTACAAAATATGTTGGATTTGAGTAGAAAACTCGTTCAGGATGCTGATACTATAAACTTATTAAAAATTCTGAAATCATATCAGGCACCAACTTCTTTAAATATAAGCAAAAATCAAATTGGAGATGTGGGAGCAATGACTTTTGCAAAGGCTCTAGAATCAGATTCATCTCTTGTTTCTTTAGATTTGCAATCAAATAACATTAAAGATGCAGGTGCAACAACTTTAGCAAAGGCTCTTGAATCCAACTCTTGCCTAAATTTCTTAAATCTTCAAAATAATAAAATTGGAGATGCAGGAGCCACAGCCTTGGCACAAGCTTTAGAATGCAATTCTTCTCTGACTTCCTTAAATCTTCAATTAAATAATGTGGGAGATATAGGGACCACAGCCTTGGCAAAGACTTTGGAAACAAATTCCTCTCTATTGATATTAAATCTTCAAAGTAATGATATCAGTCATATTGGTGCAACAGCTTTGGCAAAGGCTCTAAAATTAAATTCTTCTTTGACATCTTTGAATCTCCAGTTAAATAATGTTGAAGATACTGGGGCAACAGTCTTATCAGAAGCTCTTGAGTTTAACATTCATCTAACTTCTCTGAATCTACAAAATAACAACATTGGAAACAATGGCACAAGAGCTCTGGCAAAAGCTTTAAGATCTTCTTCAGTTTTGACTACATTAAATCTACAGTCAAACAATATTGGGGATGATGGTGCAACAGCTTTAGCAAATGCTCTAGAATTCAATTCTTCACTGACTTTCTTAAATTTACAATTAAACAATATTGGAGACACTGGAGTTATATCTATAGCAAAAGCTATAGAATTCAACACTTCTCTGGCTCTTTTAAATTTGCAATGGAACAACATTGGAGACCTGGGAGCAGTAGCTTTGGCAAGGGCTCTGACATACAACTCTGTACTGAACTCACTGGATCTTCAACTGAATAATATTGGAGATATGGGAGCAAAAGCTTTGGCAAAGGCTTTAAAATCTAATCTTTCTCTCACAATTTTAAATTTGCAAGAAAATAGGCTTGGAAATACAGGTGCAATGGCCTTAGCAATGGCTCTCTATTCAAATTTCTCTTTGGTATCTTTGAATCTGCAACATAATCAAATTGAAAATGCAGGGGCAATGGCTTTGACAAAGGCTCTAAAATCGAATTATGTTTTGACTTGTTTGGAAATTGATAATAATCAGATTGGAGCTGCTGTTGCAACGGATTTGGCAAAGAATTTGAAATCTGGACCTTCTGTTACGTCTTTAAATCTACAAAATAACAGTGTCACAGATACAGACATAAGATCCTTGACAAAAATTGTAGAGTCAAATATTTCATTGGTTTCTTTGAATATTAGTTCAAATAAAATTGGAGATAAAGGTATAACTGTCTTGGCAAAATACCTAGAATCAAATTCTTCTTTGATGTGTTTAGATCTCAGCTGCAATAAGATTGGGCATATTGGAGCAACAACTTTGGCAAAATCTCTGGAATTAAATTCGACTTTGACTACCTTAAATCTTGGTAGTAATTATATGAGAGATATGGGAGCAACAGCCTTGGCTAAACATCTAGAATTAAGTGTCTCTATGACCCTTTTAGATCTTAGTCAAAATCAGATAGGAGATGCAGGCATATCAGCATTAGCCAAAGCTCTTGAATTAAATTCTTCACTGACCACCTTAAGTCTTAGTAATAATCAGATTCAAGGTGGAAGTGCAATAACATTGGCAAAGGCATTAGAATCAAATTCTTCTTTGTCTTCTTTAAACCTAAGTAACAACCAAATTGGAAATATTGGTGCAGCAGCTTGGGCAAGGATGTTAGAAGCAAATTCCTCTCTGAGTTGCTTAAACTTTGGTTCTAATCAAATTAAAGATATAGGTGCAATAGCTTTGGCAAATGCTCTAGAATCAAATTCTTCTCTAACTTCTCTGAGTCTTGATAATAATCAGATCAAAAGTATAGGGGTAACAGCTTTTGCAAAAGCTTTAAAGTTGAATTCTTTTCTAACCTCTTTGAATTTACAAAACAATATTATTAGAGATACTGGTGCAACAGCTTTGGCAGTGGCTTTAATATGCAATTCTTCTCTGACTTCTTTAAACTTACAATTGAACAATATTGGAAATATAGGTGCAGCAGCTTTGGCAAGAGCTCTAAAATCAAATTCTTCTTTAATTTCTCTGGATCTTAGTATTAATCGAATTGAAACCACAGGAGCAATATTTTTAGCAGATAGTCTGAAAACAGATTCTTCTCTGACTTTTTTGGATCTTAATCATAATCAAATTGAATATGGTGCAATAGCCTTGGTAAAGGCTCTAAAATTGAATTCATCCTTGACATCTCTGAATCTTAATAATAACCAGATTAGGGATGCAGGTGCAATAGATGTGGCAAAGATTCTGGAGTCAAATTCCTCTATCATTACATTGAATCTTAATAATAATGATATTAAAGATACAGGAGTATCAGCATTGGCAAAAGCTCTCAAATCCAATACTTCACTGACTGTCTTGAACCTTCAAAAGAATAAGATTAGTTGTCTAGGAGCAGATTCCTTGGCAAAGGGTCTAAAAGTGAATTCCTCCTTGACTTGTCTGAACCTCTGGAGTAATAAGATTAGAGATACAGGGGCAATAGCATTGGCAAAAGCTCTAGAAATAAATTCTTCTCTAACTTCTTTGAATCTTAACAATAATGATTTTGGAAATGCAGCTGCAATTGCTTTAGCAGGATCACTTGAATCAAATCACTCCCTGACTTCTTTGGAGCTTTGGTTTAATAACATTGGAGACACTGGAGCAGCAGCTTTAGCAAAAACGCTGGAATCAAATTCTTCTTTGACTTCTTTGAATATCAAGGCTGAAGATATAGGAACAACAACAATTTTGGTAAAAGCCTTAGAAACAAATATTTATTTGACTTCTTTGAATCTCAATGACAATAAAATTGGAGATGCAGGAGCAATAATATTAGCAAAGGCTCTAGAATCAAATTTTTCTCTGACAACATTAGATCTTTGGTCTAATAATATTGGAGATGTAGGAGCAGAGGCTTTGGCAAAGGCTTTAGAATTAAATTTCTGTTTAACATCATTAGATCTCTGGAGTAATGAGATTGGGAATGCAGGTGCAACAGCATTAGCAAGGTCTCTAGAATCAAATTGTACTTTGAACTTTTTAAATCTCAGGAATAATCAAGTGGGAGATACAGGGGTGGTAGCTTTAGCAAAAGCTCTTGAATCCAACTCTTCCCTGACTTCTTTAAACCTTCAGTCTAATAATATTGGAGAGGTAGGGGCAAAGGCTTTAGCAAAGGCTTTAGAATTAAACTTTACTCTAACTTTTTTGAGTCTCAAGAACAACAATATTAGAAGAATTGGTACAGCAGTTTTAGCAAAAATTGAACATTTGTTACTAGATATTAGTGGTTCAAATTACATGTCATAATAGTAATAGAACACATGTACAGTACGTGGTTAAAATTATTTTTACTAAATTTGCCATTTTCATCAATAACTGTTGTGGAAGAATCTACTATTAAATAATAGCAAATATGTAAAGCTTCTTAGATATTATTATTATTCATGTTGAGAAATTGTTGTAATGTGTTGAGTAATAATAGATCAATAACATATTCATGGTGAATAAAATACTACGAGATTAAGATCATTTATCGTCTACAGTTATTAAAATAAACGCATTCACTAAGAGCGGCAGATAAACGAGCATAAAGAATTCTTTTAAAAAGACGCGTCACTATTTTATAATAAATACATTCTTCGACTAAGGGTTATTACTAGTCGCTGTTCTAATAATAGTTCTATGCATAGTTGTTGGAAGTGTCTTATTTCTTAGGAGACAGTATAAGCCAGCTTACTGGAATATTGACCAGGCGGGAAGGAATTTGTTCAATTATCGGTGCACTATTAAAATTTACATACGAGTGGGAGTTTATACTTGAAGCCCGTTAACGACTTAACATTAATTGACGCGGGCAACTACGTTTATGGTTAAGGTTTGAGAACACAAAAGGTCTCCCAGTTGACCGAAACATAACAGAAGATAGCTTACTTGCTGTGTGAGATGCTAATGTTGCGCGCATTTGAGAAAAAAGAACTACTTGTATGTTTAAAAAATACCTTGTGTAAAGACGTGTCGATAAGAGCTATTAGACGGACATATTGCATTAGCTTTACACGTAATTAGTAAAATCTTTACGTCTTATTGTTACGTACGTATCTGGCTATCGACTTACAATTGGTAGTAAATATTTCTCTTTTATTAGTAGATATGAATAATCTTTCCTTTCTATTATACACAGTGAAATTCACTTTAACGAAGATCGCTTTATAACAAAGCTCTTTCCAGAACAGATCATCTATTTTATACAAAAGACAGTTCACCTTCAGGTCGGTGAAGCAAAACTGTGGAACGGGTGTCTTCATCAAAGTAAATTTCACTGCGCGTCTATATTTCGTTTCAGAGATCTCCATCGTCTTTTATTGCTCGGCGACGGCGTAGTTGCTCAATTAAAAATTACGAAAATCGAAGAATTAATGTTGTAACACATGAAATACATAATAATAGTGGTAGAATAATAGCAATAGTAACAATAATATATTTTATAGTATATTTTGAGTCACTAATTGATTGGGAGACATAAATGTTAATGTTAATAATCAAATTACAATTTAGGAATAAAGTTTACATTTTTCATACCTGCAGCTGAGCCCATATTATAACTGTTTCTTGGTTTGGGCAAATTCCCAGTGGGTAACAGCCTGCTAGAGTATTTGGTCTCTTTCTCAATGCGTGTTAATGGCCTTGCATTCTCATTGTAATAAATGACATTCCAGACGTTATCCTTAAACGTATCAATGTTTGCTTCACGAACGAGATTATGAAGCTCGGCGATATACCAGCAAAGTTTCTCAGCATCAGGACGATTGTTCGGATCAGCATCACAACACATCTCCGCAAGTTGTTTGTAAGGCCTTGGTACTGAATCAGGCATCGTTGGCCGCAACCCCCCCAAAATATCACACACCAAATACCTATCAAAGTTTCTGTCTCTGAAAGGTGGTTCACCACTTGCGATCTGATACATAAGAATGCCGAAAGCATAAATGTCCGATTTCTGATTGAATTCACCAGAATAAAAGACTTCCGGTGCAACACAAGGTAAAACTCCGCGAATAACTGAGATATTTGATTTGGATGAATTTGCCAGTTGAGAAAGTCCAAGATCGCATATAAATGCGTGTAGGTCATGTAGACGAGCATCGGGATAGTGATAGTCTTTCCTGCTATTAAAAACAATATTTCCACCGTGAAGATCACAATGTATTAAACCTGTATAGTGAATAGTCCATAGACGATAGGCAATGTCCCTCAAATGATCTAGTTTCATCTTCCACGTCAATCTGTTAATATTCTGACTTAAATAAGACAAAAGATCACCATCGTTCGCATATTGCATTACGATCATGTATTCTTTTGTCTTCGGATGTTGCGTGACTCCATATATTTGAAGGAAATAGTATTTAGAACACATGGCATGATTTTTCAGCTGTCGGATTAAATGGATAAACAGGTCAAATCTCGGTTGTTTAAATTCAAATAATAGCAATCCAGAGTGCTTACCTCAGAGATAAATAGCTCTGGCATCTGATCAAAACTCCTAAAACATTTCAAAGCAATACGTTGTTTGAATGCCTTATGTTTAGCAATGTAGACTGTTCCGTAACCCCCGGCTCCAATCTCTTTAATTTCACAAAAGTCCTTAAACTGCATGAACTCTAATATTAAGTCTTCAAGCGAATCCCTTGAGTTTGTAATACGCAAAACTTTGTCTAAAGCCGAACAAGTATCATGGTAGAATACCAAATAACAGTCTCCAGTAAATGGCTCTTGAGTGATACCAATAATCCAAATGTTGTCCGGCGTTAATATCTCTGGATAGTCTTCAGTCAGCTATTTTAATGGACGATAAAACTATGAATTTAATAATCATAAATGCACATTATTGTACAGTTATAAATTCACCTGATGAAAATCAAATGACGAAGCAACTGATCCGTCAACTATCTTCTTAAGTGTCACTCTTATCGACCTGCTTTTATTCTCCGACTGTTTTAACCAATCCAGCACCTTCTTGAACATCACTTTAATTGTTACAGTTTTATCTGTTTTCGGTTCCAACCAATCCGCTATACGATCCAAAGATGATGTCTCTTGCATATTCATTAGTTGGGCGTATTCGATCCATTGAATGCCGTTGTCAAACTTATTAGTATAATTTTTCCAAGACGTCATTATAAATGAGTCCAAAGACTTGTTTCCAGTAGACCAATCAGGAGGTTTTGGTGATTTACATTTCCAACAAAATGCACTTATACTGGCGTCCAGGTGCTCCCGGCATGCCAGACATAACTCATAGCCAGAGGCTGTCGGTTTGGTTTTAATTAGAGCGTATTTTTGCCATTCCTTGTGATATGTAAACCCAAGACAAATCCAAATATCTTTGTTGAACATATCTGGATAGTTGTCACATAACTAGTAAACATTAGATTATCCGTTATATTACACGTTTATCATTAGCTAAACGTACCGGTACATTCAGGAACATAATCGAATAGGCTTTACCTTGCGATAGTATAGATCGTTCGTTTTTTCAGATATCTCAAGTGGGATCAATTCTACCTCACAGCAAACGAGTAGGCTTTTACTAACCATTACAGTGTTATTTGATAGATTAACGTTAAGCTGATCGAATGGAATCCATTCTAAATAGGCTTCATTCGCCGATATTGTTTGTAGTTGCGATTTCCTAATAAACTGATCAAGCTTCTCGTTGCCGCTAGTCCAACCGTTTGATAATTCTTTATGGCCACAAATACACCAGACTGGACTGCATCGGAGAATTCCACATACGGAGCAGAATCCATATAGGGAATAACAATGACAAAAATGCTGGTCAGCAACCATATAATAGCAATTGTTATTTTTTGTAAAACCCCTTATCATGTTATTACGCGTCTCAAGCCATGCTGCATATCTTCTGAAATTATTGATATTCGGTGGACTTTTATAGTCGTGAGTTGGATGCGAATATATCTTACTAAATTCATTGATCAGTCCATCAAGCCGAAGAAGTAGTGTCATCTCATTCACCATTGTATGGTCATCTCGTACTCGTTTGTGTGTAGCATGATAGAGATTTTGAACAGTAGAGTCTTGAATTGGCTTTATGTCTGTCAATTCTGAGAAAGAGATCCAGCCACTACTTAATACCTCTGCTGGTAATGACATTTCGAAGTTATTACTGTCAATGGGAAATGATGTAACCTTCCTTATTCCTTGCCTGTCCTACGTTACCCCGCACGATACACACCTTGCTATTACGACATACCCAATTTAAGCGAAAGCAACTAGAAGAAGACGGTCAATTTCCTTTTGTAATTGTCGACAAGGCCTTATTCCATAATTTATACGATCAAACATCAGTTGTTAAATTACCTTACATATCCTTGTTGTACCTCAGCAGTCCAGGATCAAGTCAACTCAGTTATAACTTTTGGCTATGCAAATTATCAAACGTTAGTTACTCTTAGATCATCATTATTTCACATATTATAATTATTATGCAGTCTGGCAGTTTAAACAAAAGACTGCAAACTGTTATAAAATTTTGATTCTTCATTTGAACGTTGTCAGAATTTAACATCGATAATTGAAGCACACAGGTATATCGCGAGGAATTCGAGGTGCTCGCTAAAGCCCGGTTTAAGCTGTTTTTATATATTTACAATACTTGTAAAGGAAGAGAATAAAAGCCCATATAGACGGAGTATTTAGTGAGGGGAGGGGGGAGTGTATCTATTCTCGACTAAATTTATGAGAGACTGTAGTTTACTGGGGGGACCCAGGGCGTGCCTGGATTGATTGAAGTACACCTCGATAAATCAGTTTTTTTCTTGCCGCTCTTTTCACTATTTAAAATTCTCGATAAGTCGGCCAACGGTCCTTAGTTGAATACATCACTATAGGTGGCTTTACACGATGATTATTATATTGACATTGATTCAAAGTTGGAAGCGACTCAAAGTAATTGATGGCAAACAAATGTCCATAAGGTAGCTCTGTAAAGTAATGAACATCGAATAAAGTGTAGAAATAAGTTACTCCTCAATGAAGTTTTTACAACAATTGGTATATTATTTATGTTAGGAATGCAATTCATTATCAATAGCCAAGAAACCGTCCTTTTCTCTTGTCATAAGCGAACGCATAAAAACCCGGACATAAAGCGAACCAATATGCGTTTTTTGTACCGTTAGCGTTTTTTGTACAATTGGTTTTCTATAATTGTTTCTATAATTGTGTGTTTGTTGTTTTTTTCACGTGTTTTTTATATCGGCAACTAACTGAATTAGATTTTAGACTGAACCGATTTAAGACTGGAACCAGCCCCCGAAGACACGATTTCATGTGTCTAAATGTATTCTCAGCAAGTTTTTGTCACTCGGAATGCATTAATGCCAATAGTTTTAAAAAAATCGCAAACCAATGAGCTAAATTATTTATTACTGTAAAACAACGGCCAATGCTTTGCTGTAAAATCAAACTGCTCGTATACTAATTAACGTTCCTAGACAATTTTATTTGTAGCGTGTTAATAATTTAAGCTAAAACAATTTCTATATCGAAGACAATGAATATACTGTCTAAATAAAGCGACGTAAATCTACCGTCCAGGGGCATTAAATGTTCTCACTAATTCGTAATAAGCTTGTACATCCATGAATTTCTATTGAAGATTCCCATCACTATGCTGGTTCCCGTAAGGCCATTACAAACTTTTCGTAAAACAATGCGCTTTTTTGAAGACAGTACGACTGTGAAGCAAAATCTTGTATAGGTAAGTGTCTATTTAGTATTTTCTTTTAACAAGAGAGAAAAGCCCTGACGATTGTTGTTTATCTATATACAGACACTACATTAATTAAAATTAGCATTATAACTACATATTTTTCAGCAGACATGTTGTTATATAGTCAAGATTTCGAATCATTGGGAATTTTTGTTTTTTCTTATACTTCGCTGGATTACAACCTTATCGTACTTGAACTTCTTAAAGCAACTATTAAGTAGGACATTTTTTAATATATATATCAGAAAGTCCATTAAAACAAAGCTAAATTGCAATTATTATATTGCATGGTGGTTTTTAACAAAATGACAAGGAATATAATGCTACCGGATTAAGATAATTTCAGAACGAGCTTGCAAAACCACTATGCTAAAAGGGGTCCGTATTATTTCATCGACAATCATTTCACCGACAGTACATTTCACCGACAATTAACTACCAAAAAAGGATAACTTCGAAATAATGTTGGTGAAGATTTGTCGGTGAAATGATTGTCAGTGAAATGATTGTCGACGAAATGATTGTCGGTGAAATGATTGTCGTGAAATGATTGTCGGTGAAATGATTGTCGACGAAATGATTGCCTCCCGCTAAAAGTGTATCTTATTAATATGGTTAACTCAAATTATTAAAACAGTAACACGTAGCACCTGTGTATTGACGAGATGGTCCAAGCATACTACATTCTTTGTAGAGTTTTCTCCTTACTTTTGCTATGTCAGATGACAGAAAAAAAAACTTTATTTAGTTAGTGGTGACACATTATTACACGCCATCTAAGTTAAGGTTTGATAATTTTATAAATTTAAAAATATGTTATAATTGCTTTCTATAACACTGCTAGCAAACAAGCGAGTCGGAGAAGTTCTGGAATATAGCCATCGGTTAGGACAGTAATCGGCTTTGTCTATTGTCGTAATATTTGTAAAGATTTACAAATATCCAGTATACGTCCTTTTTATCTGTGTACGTTGCACAACTATTAGAAAGAATACGCCCTAGTAAAAATTATCTTGCAAGTGTTACATACGCATCTGTCTCTCAAAAACCAATGTCACATACTTCGCTGTGTATGTTTTTATCGGATAAGGCAAGTTATGCTATACTAGGTCGTGAGGGACTATCTCTAAGCAAATTTAGTATCCTAATACACAATGAATGTATGTGGTAGCAATTTTATTTATTTACTTATTAATATTATCTACATTTTGTTTTCAGAAAAACTATTCCCAATAGCAAAGCCACCACAGTTAGATTACGACTTTACAAAGGGGAGCTCTAATAAAGAATCAATTTTCACAATATACACAGAGAAATCAAAGTATTTACAATCAAAATGTGTAGAAATAATGATGTCCATCACACACATAATCCGCAGGCGACTTTAGTAACTTTCTTTTTCGTAAGGTGACTGCCACTGTATCCAGATTTCATCGGAACATTCCCGAAATCTTCCAGCAGGTAGTCGATCCAGCGTAGGGTCATGTTTACACGGATCCCACGCATCTTTGCGTGGCCATGGCGCGGAGACAGTTAACGTGGTATTTGATATGAGAAGGAAGAAGAAAAGAACTATTGTAAGAGAATGCGTGCGTGCGCTAGACCGAGTTGTAGATCTGTACATTTTGTAAGCGTGATTAATAATAACGTTCGTTGAGTGTATTTGTCGTCTCGTCCTCGTTCTTTTACTTCACACTGCTGGTTATGGGTTTTGTTTCGTCAGTCAACTTTTTTCCACTTGTTTTCTCTTGACTTTGTTCTTTTCGGCATAAAATCATGCAAACCGGGCAATAAGGAATAACCCTCTGCTGTGTTAGTGTTCACTGCTGCTATCACAGATAGACTTTTCTCAGCAAAGGTGAACGTAAAATAGTATACGCAACTCGTGAAAGCAGTTATGCAACTCGACAGAGTTGAAAATCAAAATTTTTACGAGGATGACATATTTATATATTGAACATGCAATATGGTGTAATATGCAACATGACAAATGGGTCATTACAGTTAATTGAATAAGTAATATATTGGGCGCAGCTTACATACAAACGACATGGTAAAGGGTTGGCTGCCTTGTATGGAGTAAGCCAACTAATTATAGCACAAATAAACAACAAAAAAGATAATAATATAAAATACACACCCTATATAAGGTTATTCGGACTTCTGTATCTATTACCTAAACAGTATTAGTATACAAAGGAAATTTCCATCTATTTTCATTTGTCAAATCACTGTCCCCATTGTTGATGCATCCTCGTATAACCGTACTCACTATGAGTTTTGCCATCTTCATCTATGACGGAGCTCATTTCATGCATCTCCGCACATCAATTTAACTATATTGGTATGTAGATAACGTATCTCCCTATATCGGGTATGACGTTTTTTTATTTACTTTACTATGAATAGAATTCAGACTGTATCACCTTCGGAGAGTTTTTTATACTTTGCCAAGAGTGCGTGAGAGGCTGAAGCGCAAGGGGGAGAAGAAAATATTGAGAGAGAGAGATACAAGATATTGAAACGAGTCAAGGTGAGGTGCGTTGATATGAGTTACGATAGTTGCAATATGAGAGCTTTATCGACAGGATAGTAATAGTGTAATACGACTTGATAAACAAGTGTTACTATCTGTTACACATTGGTAGAACCTGTCACAGCAAATATTGTTTACACATCTGATTCAAAGATCACGATAAAGTACCCGCCTGTTCCGGATTAACACTTCCTTTATCCTCCAATGCTTATCCCATACTGTTTATTTCAGTTAAATATCTGCTCTTATTTGCTTCTCTGTTTGCTTGCTTACAGTAACCCGCTCACATTATTCGAATTTCAAGCACACCTCCTTCAAACTTTATTGAAGCATTCTCCGAGACATAAACAATGAAAACCTTAATAATACTTATTGCAAAGCGAACAATCGTAGGTAGATTATATTTTATTCGTTACACGTACAAGCTTCTTTTATGAGCAGCTTGTGCATCGGATAGAGGAAAATGAGTTATCTATCAGTTGGCAACAAAAGTACACAGTGAAAGTCGATACAATAGACTGTCGCTATTTACGGACCTTTTCTCTGGGACGGAATTTTTTACTAAATAATATTTGGTATAAACTCGCAGTGATATTACGGACTAAAACGCTGGTCCCGAACAGTCCGTTATATTGACTTCACTGTGATGAGATTTGACGATACTAGTTGTCTACTAATATATTATGATATTGTCAAAAACTCCAACATATGTACCCCCCTCCCCATGAGATGTACCCTCCACTAGTTTTCAGAAGACAGATTTTGATTTAATAACAATGGTTTTGGCCCTTTGATTTATAGCCCATTCTGTTTTTTCTTTTAGTACTGATTTGAAAGTATATAGATACACGCAGTGATCATATGTTAAGTCAGTTACATTGACAATATATCAATATTATTTCGCGTTGTGTCACTCTTTTTTCCAATCAGCAATTGTGTGTCAGGCAGATGTAACCCCCTTACAGGAGTACCCAGGTACTAAAGTTAGTATAGAGTTACACAGAATGTGCGTATCAAGTGACAAGACTCCCACTTTGGTATAACTTGCAATATGAAAAGAACAATAAATGACACTATACGATATTGATAGAACTGCTAATATTGTGTTGCCGGAAAGCACTGGCGACAGTCACCAATTTTTATATTGCCTAATACGCATCTTTTACGATCTTCATATATCAAATATTTTTTCTTTATTGAAGTCAAGCTTATACGGATGGACATCAATAGTAGGCATTAACAATTTCCTGCTGGAGAGAATCAAGCAGGTCCCGGAGAAAGATTTTCCGAGCGCCAGTCTCATCTCGATCCATTACAGTCCCACTTGTACATCTCGGACCCTCCTGTTTTTTGAACGCCAGCTGCAAGTTTTTTGAAGTATAGGTCTCATTTTGGATAATAACATGGATCCCTATTTCTTCTGCTTTAGCCATCAGACGTTGGCAAAATTAATTAGTAGCCCAACAGAGCATTTTACGAACGGTTTTTCGTATTATCTTTCTTGTTTTCGATTTACCATATTCGATACCTCAAAAGGAGGAATGATAGTGGCATCAAATTCGCGAGTAAAAAATGCGACACGCTTTTTATGAACTTCACTGTGCAGGTGTTTGATTTTTGTCGCATCTGAAAGATTGCCTTATCAAGTCGCAAGGCCTTTTTCCTCTTACATTTTGAACTAGAGAAAGCTTTATAGAAAGAAGATTATCCATATGTTTGCATAGACGAATAATTCGTCCAATGTCGTATTGGCCAATTTTACCTACACCGTTGGTGGGGGGGGGGGGGGGTACCGTGAGGAGGGTGAACGAACGTCAAGGTCAATGGAAACTGCATGAACAGAACCATCCGCTTGGGTTTCGCGGAGTTGTTTTTGCGTCTCGTAAACCCCATGCAAATCTCCATTCATTAGTTTTGCGCATATATGTGATCTTGCAATCGGACGCTATTCTGTGAGGAACAGGCCACTTATTATTATGCTTTTTTTTTCCTCGAAATGAAGAGGCCACAAATCGCGTTTGTCGTCCAGAGTAATAACAGGCTTATGGCGGTGTGCGGAAAGTAGTGATGGATTATGGAGATGGGTGATATAAAAATGGTTCCATGTGAAAATTATTATGTCATCAATCTTTTCGAGATCGACGAACTTTGCTGATTCGTATATTATGGTTAATTATCTTGTCCCTAATACTAAAATTAGTCGAATAAAATAAATAAAATAAATAAATAAAAAATAAAAAAAAAATTCGAAAAATAACAATCATATACAGTACCTAGCAGTTAATGGTTCATCAATCGGCTCATCGATAGTTTGCCATGTATACCTTGAAGCAGCATTTCAATACGCACAACAGTTCGCACGGAATTTGTGTTCAACCCATACGCATGATTTTTGAAGTCTCTTTTCCTCATGTTCATTAACATCTTTTCCTACACGAATATCTGTGTAAAGCTTAAGCTTATCTTCCATGGGTTGTGATGGACCAATATGCGAATCCTTGGTATAGAAACGGCGGTATCGACTCCAGTGGACAACTGCACTATAAGCAAGCCCGTCAACCGTTTCAATGGTTGCTTTTGAAGGTGAATTGGATATACTTGATTAGCAGCATATGATTGAGAGCTTTCAAGTGTTGTCATTTGTTGCGTGCCCTGATCTTGCGCTTTTTTCCTAGTTTGGGGTTCTCATTGGACAACTCTTATTCCTTACTTGATTGCAAGGATATCTTGGGAAAGTTACGTGCTCGTCGGAGGTCGCTTCGTTGACGACAACCATGAGTTTTGTAGTATGGGAGAAGTGGATGAGGTCGCGGCAGAGTCGGTCACTACAATTTCTGAGACCATGCCGCGACTTTTCCGTTCCAATAAAGTCTTAAGTTCGTAGGGGAGTTGACGGGTTTGTAGTGACGAATTCGTACCTCTTTTGCTTGAACCCCTTTTTGGTGTGGTGGTGGTGGTGTTAGCGTTGGGGAGAGAGTTTATGAGTTTACGATTTTGAATGATTTTGATTTCAAATAAGCAACGATTAAAGAATTTGTCCTTAAATATGTTTATGTTTGTCGGTATTTGAATGGCGAAAACCCGAAAACGCGCATGAAACATGCAATCTTATATGGGCCTGTCACCTGTGCTTGCATTGAATGAAGCTATTGTCTACGAAAACGTTTCTGAAGCTTTGACTACGAGCATACAACTTTCTCGCCAGGTTCAGCATCGTGTTGCTAGTATCAGACACGATTTTTTATGCGTTTTGTTCGAACTGACTCTCCATTATTGGTACTAATCTAACTCAATGATGTCAATACATTATTGTGGTCAGAAATATATATTATATTCCATATTTAGGCACAACTCGAGAGTCCAGACCACCTGTAACTCCACATTCGCGAAAAGCGTTCTTAACCGAGAAATTTTATTTTTATTTTGCTTATGTGCAATCGCTAAAGGAAAAAGATGGGGCGAAAGCGTTCGATGCATTGAGGACTCTGATAAATCAGAAAAGTTAAACCTTGAGAACAAGTTGATGAACTCTTAAGGCGAAGGGCGACTCCTGCAAGCGAAAAGTCTGAATTATAATTGTCAGTGATTGATTTACTTCATTTACAAACAATTAATATAGAATATAGTAAAAGAGTTGACTAATCACTAATAAATAAGTCTATTCAACTTTCTTTTTGCTATGCAATTCCACCTTTCTCTTCGGCTTTAAGTTTATCGTAACCCTATTGAAGTGCGAATGTGTGATCCAATCACTATTCTAATTCTTAATCACGTGGAAAAATAACCGTATCGAACTTCGATATTTATAACGAAGGAATTTTAACTAGTTCAAAAACGGGGAAGCAATAATAATAATCACTTCGATAAAATAAAATTCGGTATAATGAGACTTTATTGTTATTGTATCTTAAAACTTTTGTATAAGAACGAAATAGAATGATTATCTCGATAAAATCCATAGTATGGTGCAAACGGCTTAGCGCATCCAACATTTCCAACAACTTTGATTTTCAGCGCCGCCCTAATATTAATATACGATTGGATTGGTGGATACAAACTACGTGGCTACATTGTTACAAGTCTCTGAATTCTTCCAAAACGGTTGCAGGAACTCGACGATGAGATCGATATCGCTTAACTGCAAAAACAGCTGCCTTACCTGAAAGTCCAAGGTTCTGGCATATTTGGTTGCATTCTATCTACAAATTCATCACTTGTTGATGGCATCTCGAGATTGTCTAGTGCGTTTATTTGATTTTGGCATAATTCTGTTAATTAATCACGATATGGCATAAAATGTCGCAACTTCAACAATGAAAACGTTAGAATTTTGACCAATAAAATCGCACATTATGGTTTCTCAAACATTTGATGCACCATAGGAAGTTTTCGTTATTCAAAGACAGAATGATTGAATAGTAATTGTCTATTGCTCAATAAGTCACATGACAATTATATAAATATAATTCACGGAAAACATTAAGGGATAATTCAGATAATGGTTTGATTTGAGTGGAAGAGCAAGATGCTTATTACATTACTACAATGAGGAACGTTGCACCGCAGAAAAAAAAAAAAAAGGAAAAAAAGAAATCACATGGATAGTCAACATGCTGAAATGTACAACAATGATTTTATATCTTTCGAAGCTCTTGTCTTTCAGCACGTTTATGAGAGTTCTTGCCAAAGGCAAAACTTGGTTACTCCGAAGACTATGCATTAATACTTGCTGATAATCTGCAGAATTAATTTCACACGGTGTCGTACTTAAAAGGTTCTTAGAATTGTTCAAACCTAAATATGGAATCACGAGATCAAAACATACCCTTCATTGTATGACCAATTTTGGATAATGCTATACCAACATTCAACAATAGAATTGGGTAGTTAATTTGCCTTGTGTTTCCTGTACTACAAAATATTGCTCGTTACTTATAAGCCATCCACGTTGACTCGTGGCAAACCAACGTGATTGACTTCATAATGAGCGTCTTTGAACGGTTTTTGAATGCCTTTAGAGTACGTTCGAATGCTGAAACCATAGAAATCGATAACAGTATTCCCGAATGTGATCGCTCGATTAAACCTTCAAAGACATTGGACGACGGAGAATCGATATACTCAAATCTTAATCATATACCATACTCGGAATTTACAAATATAAACCCTATTCAAAAAAACCACGGAAAGACCAACAAATATTTCCTCAGTCAAAAAATTTATGATGCCGCACATAATCGACAATGGCGTGAAGCAGAAAGCGTAATTCTACTGTCATTTGGAAAACGTGACAATTGCACACAGGAATTTGCTAGGATGTATTCAATCCCGACACACATGTACGAAAATCCTCCTAATCTTGACCAGTTCAAAAGATACCCAACGTGGCTTAAAGATCGCAATCGGCTGATCAAGGGGTTTACAACGCATCAAGATGATTACTACTTGGTTGTTAAAAAAAAGTTTTATCACTATTATTCCCTGTACGGGTTCTGCTCTGCATGCGGAATTCTCCGATGTAGTCCAATTTGGTGTATCTGTGGCCACAAAGAGCTAGCAGATGAATGGACGAGCAACAATGCAAAACTTGACGAGTTTATTAGAGAGTCTCAGAAGCAGACAAAGTCGGCCAATGAAGCCTACTTGGAATGGATTCCGTTCGAGTGGGTTACAATTGACTCTTCAGATGACCTTGGTGACACAGCTTGTTCCGATAAATGTATTGTTAGCCAAACTAACACTCAACGCCACCCAAACGCGTGGCCTATCAACAAAAATAATCTCGATAAGTTTACTAAGGAGCTACCCAGACGTATTCCTTATGAACTGAGCGAAATTTATTCACTAAACAACAGAAACAATACTTACTATTTAGATCAGCACACATTAACTAATAACGGTGGTACCCAACGATATTCAAATGCTGAATTTGTTAGTGGAATATCTACTCACTGCGACGTGGAATTGCTACCGGTTAAGATTCAGGACGAAACAAATGACTCAAATTATCAAATGGTGAGTAACATGTAAACACATTCAAACTTGCTATAACGATTCAATAACCCACAACTAAACATTAATAATTTTTCACTAGTTGTGTCATGACCATCCTGACATGCTCAATCGAAAAGTTTGGATTACCGTTGGGTTTACTTATCACACAGAGTCGAAATATGCCATAGTCAAGGTTGTTTCTAAATGGGACTCGTGTAATGTTGGATTATGTCTGTCATGCCTAGACTACTTGCATCCCAACATCAACGCATTCTGTCTAAAGTGTAAAGCACCAAGGCCACTCGATTGGACCACTGGTAATAAAAAGTTGGACTCGTTTATAATGAAATCGTGGGACAATGTGGATACTAAGGCGGATGGTTATGTACAGTGGATTGAGTTTTCTCAATTAAAAACGATCCAAAGGGTAGTACAACTAGGGCATAAATGTACGCATACAGCCGATTGGTTAGAAGATATAGCTAATCAGACTCAATTGAGAAAGGTTATGTTTAAGAAGATAGTCGATGGACCAAACGCTCATGCCTTTGATTTTTATCAGGTAAGCTGCTCCCGCGTAGAAAATAACATGGATGCTTTCTAAAATTAACGAGTATCGATGTTTGAATTAACTTCCTCCTTACTTAATAGCTAACTGAAGAATATCCGGAGATATTAACTCCACACAATCTTTGGATTGTTGGCATCACTCAAGAGCCAAGATCCAGAGATTATTATCTGGTGTTCCATTACAGCATGAATTCAGTTTTAGACAGATTCCTTCAGACTATTAATATAAACTCATTCGATTCTCGGCTAGAATTCAAAATTATGCAATACGAAGACTTCTGGGGATTTAAAGAGATAGGGTCTGGCAGCCATGGAACAGTTTATACCGCCAGGTGTAAACACCTCTATAAATCTTCGTCAAACTGCGCTGTTCTAAAGAGTTTGAACAACTTTAATCAAATAATTGGATCATTTATTTCAGAGGTAAGCAATTCTACTAGATTAGCGTTAATGGTTGAAGCAGAGTTTAAATATTTTATTATCTTATATGTAGGTCAGAAATCATGCCAGATGCTCAACGTCCGAGATTAACTTTCTTAAAATCTATGGGGTCACACGGCACCCAACGACAGGTGACTACTTGATCGTCATGGAGTATGCTAACGATGGCAACCTATTTTCCTTTTTAGTACAAAACATTAACAAGCTGACGTGGTGGACGAAATTACAGCTGTTGGATGACATTGCAAATCGTTTACAGAGCATTCATGATATGGGATTGATACATTGCGACCTCCATGGAGGGAACATTGTCTTAAATAATAAGAATAGAGAAGAGGCAAAACTAGATGTTGACATAAGCAAGCCATTTATATGTGATCTTGGACTATCCAAATCTGCTCACTTGTCGTCAGACTCTGCAACAATTGAAGGTGTTTTACCTTATACCGCGCCCGAGGTCCTCTCCACTCGCAAATTTTCGCAAAAATCAGACATCTATTCCTTTGGCATTCTTATGTACCAGATAGCGAGTGGCGAGCCACCTTTCCGGGATCGCTTGTCAGACAACGATTTAGCAAGCGATATCTACAATGGACTGAGACCAACAATGCCTGGTTCAGCGCCCGAGTCATACAAAAGACTTGCTGAGAGGTGTTGTGACGCTAATCCTAGCGAGCGTCCAGATTCCTCAGAGCTAAAAAAGTACATCCAGAACAATCTTGTTCCCGAAGCGTTGAAGAATGACAGCAGCGAGTGGTTTACCATTTACCACAATGAGAATGTACAAGAAATGTCCCCTATTGAGAAGGAGAGAAGTTATTCTAGTAAATGTTTGCCTAAAGTTAATTTTAATTACAGGTATGAAACAATAGATTATATTGTGTGTTGAATGATAACGAAACTCGATTATATTCTGGAATATTAACGCCAATGTATTCTTGCACTGACTGGTCAGTGAGTGACTCGTATAATTGATCCTGTGATCCAAGGAGTTACGCTCAAACTTCTATGTATATATTTGCTTCTCTTAGAGTATCTGCAAAACCAAAACTCAGATTGTTGTAAATACTATACCATATTTTGACGTTGGAGCAGATAAACTCGTGTAAATACAAATTGCAATAAAAAGTTTTTGTTTTTTGTTTTGTTTTTTCTTTTAAATAATGGCATGTTAAAATTAAGAGGAGTAAGAGCTTGGACAATGTTTGTTCTTCTACCGAGTAAGGGTACCCGACATAATTTTTAATTAACTACTAACCAGTTACCGACGCGTCTTATTCACTTACAACGAAAAAATAACAAGTTGCATAACGGCAGTTAACTATAAAAATAAACTTCTAGTTTAAAATGTTTAATAGTTCGAATAACATAAAAATCCAATGAGTTATAAACGGGTTTGACTTATCCACTCATAGTCTTGAAAACGACAATCTTTCTTTAGTGTAAATTCTTGGTTATATTAATATGTACGTTTCCATATTACTGTATTATACACGAAACAATTAACCTCTGTAAGAAGACAGTCGTAATAAAATTTAAAACTCGTTCCTCCCGAAATTTTACGTGACTGACACTGGACATCATCGGGTTCCAAATTTCATAGTCGCCATTATACTATGTTGATCTCTCACTCTCATATAAGCTGGACAATTCAACTTTTGACTAAAGGTATAAAGTAATGTCTTCCGAGAGTTTTATATTAATTGCAACAAGACATCTATTTTCAAAGCGGAAAGTCCTGGCAAAAATTAAATAACTCGAAAATTTGTCCAGCAAAGAGATAGTTGATTTCTTTCAGCAGTAAGCGCACAACCCAGTTTGTTGCAAAAAATTTATCCAAACACGTGATGTCGCTTTGCAGTAGTTAAAAATTAAAACCGCGATTACTTAGCAGAAGAGAAATCTTCGGCAGTTTGTCAAATATGAAGCTTTCTTCTATTAACTAACGCAATATATACACTTCGACAATTTGGTGGTAAACGTATAAAATTGTGGAAACAACAATTCAGTGTTTTGAAAGTATTTGTGCTGTTGATCTCGTATTTCTGAAATTAAGGTTAAAACTTGGTCAGTTATCCCTCGGTTATGGACTATTTAGTTAATAGTGCTGACTTAAAAAATAAATGGGGTTTAGTGAATTAGTCAGCAATAATAATTGTAAACGCTCAATAAATTGATGAGCAAAGTCAGCGTAAAATATTCGATAGAAATACCAGAATTGACTCTAATATTGTAAATTTCGTAGACGACGTTGTGAGCTTGTATTAGCTAAAGAATTCAGTATTAATACTGATTATTATATGATATTAATTAACTTTGATAATTCAGCCGATTCAAAAATTGCACCATTCATTTAGTTGACCATTCTCTACATAATACAATAATAGGTTGCTAATATGATAATTCACTTCTTCTCGGTGAATACAATCGCAGTCAGACATGTGAGTTGTATACATAATGTTACACTGATTACTGGACACAAAATAATAAGGGTATAAACAATACTGTCGTGACTGATAGATTTTATTAGCAGATCGAATAATTTGGCACCTCTAATAAAGAATTCTTTAATGTCACTATTACTATAGGTGTTACTAATATCCCAACGTGTTACCAGATAAAAGTGAACACAGCAACAGTGGGGTTATGGTTTAAATTGCGGACATCAAAACTTGTCACAAGTCCCCAAAACACTTTTGGTTCAATTAACGAGCGGATTAGACATACCAGTCTGGTGCTTTGATACGACATAATTCCTTTATTCAACCAGAATAATCATAATCTTGGCGAATTATTCGAGATTGCAGACAAGGTCCAACCAAAAGACAGTTTTAATAATATCACTACTTGATTTTGGTTAATTTCAGGATAGAACAATAGCATTAGTAACATTTAGCAACCTCGTGAGATTTATCATAAGGCACAGTATGTTACTACACGGTTTGTTTTGGCACACAAGATAGACAGAAAGTGGGGGATGGCGTATATCATGTAGTGCGTACTAACCCACATATGCATCTGTGTGGTAGTAAGAAACAGTGAAAGATTCAGGGTTCCGAGCTCTGCAATTAATTTCCAAGCGATACGTATTTGGTCTTTTTTATTGAATTATTAATTCGGGTGGATTGTAACATATTAATAGTAGGCATTACTACTATTTTCTGCGTGATCTCCGGAGAGAATCAATGCTCCAAGGAAGATTCCCCGAGCGCCATTTCATTACAGTCCCACAATTTCAGCACTTGTACATCTTGGACCCTACTATTTTTTATTTATTTTTTTTGCAAGTTTTTAAAGTATAGGTCTCATTTTGGATAATAACATGGACCTAATTCTTCTGCTTTAGCCGCCAGACGTTGGTGAAATTGATAGTGGGCCCAACAGATCATTTTACGAACGGGTTTCGTATTATCTTTCTTGTTTTTCGATTTACCATATTCGATACCTCGAAAGGAGGGATGAAATTCGCGAGTAAAAAAATGCGACATTCTTTTTATGAACTTCACTTTGCAAGTGTTCGATTTTTCGTCGCATCTGAAAGATTGCCTTATCAAGTCGCAAGGCCTTTTCTTCAGCCAGCTTGTCCTTTATAGAAAGAAGATTATCCATATGTTTGCATAAACAAATAATTCAATGTCGTATTGGCCAGCCTTTAGTAGGAGAGTAACATGTGAGGGGTGTACGAATGTCAAGGTCAATGGAAATTGCATCAGAACCATCCGCTTGGGTTTCGCAGAGTTGTTTTGCGTCTCGTAAATCCATGAAAGTTTCCATTCATTAGTTTTGCGAATATATGTGATCTTGCAATCGGACGTTATTCTGTGAGGAACAGACCACTTATTATTATGCTTTTTTTTTTCGAAATGAAAAGGTGGTTGATCCTATATTATTATTATGGTTAATTATCTTGTCTCTAAAATTAGTTAAAAAAAAACAAAAACAACAATCATACCTAGCAGTTAATACTTCATCAATCGCTTCATCGATAATGTTTGCAGGCGCTTTGCCATGTGTACCTTGAAGCAGCATTCCAATATGCACAACATTTGCGTTCACCCCATACGCATGATTTTTGAAGTCTCATTAACCTACAGTATAACGCTTAAACTTATCTTTAATAGGTTGAGATTTTATCCAAACCCGTCGTGATGGACCATTAATATGTGAATCTTTGGTATAGAAACGGCAGTATCGACTCCAGCGGACAACTGCATTATAAACATATCTCGACAAGCCCATCCACCGTTTTAATAGCTGCTTTTAAAGGTGACTTAGGTATACTTTGATTAGCAGCGTATGATTGAGAGCTTCCAAGTGTTGTCGTTTGTTGCGTGCTGCTGTTGTCCTTATCTTGCGCTTTTTTCCTGGTTTGGGGTTCTCGTCGGGCGACTCTTATTCCTTGTTTAATTGCAAGGATATCTTGGGAAAGTTCGAGGTCGCTTCGTTGACGAGAACCATGAGTTTTGTAGATGGGAGAAGTGGATGAGGTTGTGGCAGAGTCGGTCACAATGGGTAACTACAATTTCTGAGACCATGTCGTTCCAATAAGGTCTTAAGTTCGTAGGGGGAGTTGACGAGTTCGTAGGGACGAGTTTGTGCCTCTTTTCGCTTGAACCCCTTTTTTAGTGGTGGTGGTGGTATTAGCATTGAGGAGAGAGTTTATGTGTTTACAATTTTGAATATTTGCTTATTTTCAATAAGCGAAAAATTGCAATGGTTAAAGAATTTGGGGGATTATGTCTTTAAATATGTTTATGGCTGTCGGTATTTGAATGGCGAAACCGAGAACGCGCATAAAACATGCAATCTCATATGGAGCCTGTGCTTGCATTGAATGAGGCTATTGTCTACCTACTACGAGCATACAACTCTCTCGGCAATACCAAGGCAAATCCGTCCGAGTGAGGAATGATTACCCGACCATAAAGGCTCCAAAGATACAGTGCGTGAAAAAAATTTTTGGAATAAAATGCACAAACTTTATTTCTTCCAAAATGCGCGTCTAATCAAAACAGTCAACTAATACGTTTTGTGCGTTCTATTCCTATGTATGTAACCGACAAAAAAACTCGGTCACGTTACTTGTGTCATTTGTTTTATTTGTTTACACTATTCATGTTGTTATTAAAAATACAACGACAGGGTTTTGATTGATTTAACAATGAGAATTTTACTGCACGCCATGCCGCTGCCCCCCTATTATGCAATACAGCTCCCGCAGAAAATTTTCATTGATCACGTCCATGCATTTCCTCACACGATTGTCATGAATCTGACAAGTCGGTCACATGATTTTATTTTCACGTGATTAATTGTATCCCGGAGAAATAATTTATTGATTATTATTATACGTACCCGCTTGGAAATTAATTGCAGAGCTCGGAACCCTGAAATTTTTCACTACCGCACCCGATCCAGATGAGTGCTACATGATGTACGACATACCAATACCCTGTCTATCTTGTGTGCCAAAACAAACCGTGAAATACTGTGCCTTATGATAAACCTCACAGGGGTTGCTACAATGTTACTTATGCTATTGTTCTATCTAAAAGCTGTCTTTGGTTGGAACTTGTCCGCAATCTCGAATAATTCGCCAAGATTATGATTGTTCTGGTTGAATAATGGAATTATGTCGTATCAAAGCACTAGACTGGTATGTCTCGTTAATTGACCCAATTCGCAATCAAAGGTGTTTCGGAATTATTACAAAAGTGTTTGGGGGACTTGTGACAGGTTTTGATGTCCGCAATTTAAACCATAACCCACTGTTTGCTGTGTTCACTTTTATCTGGTAACACGTTGGGATCGCAATCTTTATTAGTAACACCTATAGTGACATTAAAGAATTCTTTCGGCGTGAGAAAATAATAAACCCCAGAGGGAGGCAAGACAATTGGAGAATTGGAACGCTAAATTGATACTAGCCAAGACGAGAATAATCTTATTTGATAAGCGGCACATAAACAAAGTGTGCGTAATAACTTTTAATTGCATAGATATCGATGGGCCGTGATGAATAAAATATGGGGTAGTCCAATTGTACAATAAGCCCTAAAAATATTTATGGCATAAAAGTGAAATTCACAATAACTCTAACGGCCGATTGATTCATATTAAAGGGCGTAATATGCAAAATACTTATATATCATACCACATACAGCTTATAACAACAATATATACAATTTTTTATCTCACATAACTCGCGAAAATGCCACCAAGAGGCTTCAAAAAGGATGATGACTACAACCCATATGCATTTCGCCTCCCCCATTCGCTGCAATGGCACGGTTCAGTCATCCCACGAGTCTTCCCCTCGACTGTTGTCTGTCTTGCCGTTGCTGTCGCAGTCACATGTATTAATGAGTTGACCGATATCAATATTACTATACCTCAAATGCTTATAACAGTCATTGGTTTCGTTGTTGCTTTGCTACTGACCTATCGCACGAATACAGCATACGACAGGTAATTCAGCGTCAAATGGAGATATGTAATTATATTGAAATTCCCCGTACGATTTGGCTGAACGATCAATCTTTTCACATTCACAGATACTGGGAGGGTCGTCGTCTTTGGTCTAATCTGACGGTTGCAGTGCGCAACACGGCACGCGTAATCTGGATTAGTATCAGAGAGGAGAATGCCACCATAATCCTCGAGAAAAAAACTGCACTAAATCTCCTCGCTGGTTTCGCCGTTGCCACTAAACACTACCTCAGAGAAGAGGATGGCTGCGAATTCGAGGATCTCAAACCTCTTATCTCTAACATTCGTTCTACTTTGCCTGGATTTGAACCGCTCGAGGACCAAGATAAGGTCTCGGAATTAGTGCGTCTGGGTGCTGGGCCCAACACTCTTAATAAACTGTTCAAGAGACAGCGCAAACCCCATGAGAGGAAAAAGGGAGAGCTTGCACCAATCAATCACAATCTACCACTTGAAATCCTGCTTTATCTCGCTAGTTACTTTGCCGCGCAGAGTGATGCCAAACGTATCGGCGTTCCTGCTGCCAATGCTTTAGGCAATGGTCTTGCACAATTGACCGATTGTTTAACTCATTTCGAAAGGATTTTGCGATCACCTATTCCAGTCGCATATTCCATCCATTTGTCGCAGACAGTCTGGATCTACTGTCTCAGTCTTCCATTCCAATTTGTAGCATCATTGCATTGGGCAACTATTCCATTAGTGTTTCTCGCATCGTTTGTTTTATTGGGTATCGAGAAAATTGGTGGCGAGATTGAGAATCCGTTTGGGTATGATGAGAACGACTTGGATCTGGATGATTTCTGCAAGTAAGTGTCGACAGAGAGAGATTGGCGAGTTGGTACTTGAAATGGTGGTATAGAATTCGAACTATACAAGCTTGCATGCATTTGGACTAATTTATTGACATTCTCTCATTGCAGCTTAATTATACGTGAACTCGATACAATCACAGCCAATCCGCCACCTTCAGTTGATGACTGGATATTTGCTCCAGAGAATCATCCATTTGGTCCTCAAGGCGTGACTGCCGAGGAAGCACGCAAATTGTCATTGGAGGATGTCCGTGTACTGCTGGATACAAGTGCACAGGAAAAAAGGAATTCATCTGAGATTAAGATTGAAACTAAATGATCGAAGATACCAATTACAAGCTTGTATAGTATATCATTCGTAGAATTTAATTATAATAAATAAAAGAAAACAAGCAAAAGCAAACGCTGTTACACCTTGTACATTCTCCGCACATAATAGTGATTATGGTAAAGGTGGAATGGTTCAAAGGATTACTTCTGAGAGATATCATGTCGTTACAGTTATCTGCAGACTCGTTGTGTATATGTAAATTAGCCATATTTGTTATAACGACTGCGAGGAGTGAACCACAGAAAGCTATTGTAACCACTCTTTAAGTTTTCTGTTTCTTTACAGGAAGATCTCTAAATCCTTCCGAAGCACCAGGGTAAATTCTATCAAATTAAATTTTAGCAGTTGCGAATAATTGGTTCTGGGAAGTAAATTTTGTCATTGAGTTTCAATTTACATTATCTCTATCTCCAAACGCAACAATGCTGTGACACTATTAAGACTTTTGGGTCACTTCGGCTAGCTAATTTTGGCTAGTGACTCTTACATTAAAACCTATCATTACTAATAAATTAGTCCTGTCAGGGAATAGGCTCCCGCGTCAGCCTAAGCTGACTCCTTTTTTGTAAGATGTCGAAGAAGAATATTGCGGGCACCATTAATATCTCTATCGAGGTCTGTTTTACATTGGGGACAGCAAAACACCCAAGTTTTACTAGTGTATGGATGCTCACGTGCCTTATGGATCAATGCTGTTGAAAGCGATAATGTACATGGCTCGAGCAGTCTTGGAATTAATACGTCGTTGTCCACGTCGGACCATTCCTTGAGTTATTATGCGATAATTTTCACAAAGCCATTGAGCTAGTTTATGATGACAATTATCCACAAAACAACGGATCCTCTTGTGAATGCGTAACATAATCTACAATTGAAAGTAGTATATATGTTAAATATTAAATAATTTAGTTAATAAATTTTACCTGTAACGGTTTCGCTTATTTTTTTTCCATGAATACAGTCGCGTTTACTTTGAAGCTTGTCGCATGCATGGCTTAATCGATAAATTCGGCCAATGTCATTTTTACCCCACTCAACAGCTACTCCACTTGGATCATAACCTGTCATGAATGTACGTACACCTGGATCCAGAGAAATCCCTCCTATTAAATTATTAGATATATAATATAATAAAAAAATTATATCAATACCTTTTGAGATATAGGGCCTTGGTTTTCAGCCCGTATTCAAGTGGTCTGGGTATACAAAGATAATATTCCTCAAGTCTATTCATAACAAGGCGGCTATCATATTCAAGCTTATATGGGAGAGGTTCTGTTGACTTGATTCCACGAGATTTGCCCCAGTGTTTAGAAAGTATCGTAATTGACTGTTGAGGATCCTTTTTTGAACGGAGCTTCATCTTGAATTTTTTACGATTGGCAGCAAAATTGGAAGAATATCCTTTAAGCAAGTCGTTCATTACTTCATCGCGAATGTCGTAGGGAGTTTCAAGAACCCATTTAAGTTCGGTATCATTGAAGTTTTGGCGTTGGCGCGTAGATCCTTCTTTTCTCGTTTGACACTTTCTTTTTCGACGACGGTAAGGCACCAATTGTATGTCCATCGTGCTGTTTCCATCCATCTTCTGAGTTTCAGCCGCTCCTGCTGGTTGGGATAATGCGAATACGTTGTACCTTGCCTGCTGAAGGTTTCTTCACTTCCTTTTTGAACCTCTTGGGCAGCTTCTCTTCTTCTTCTGCGATTTGCGGCCGAACTAGTCTATTATGTCGCGCCACAAACACTGTGATGATTGTAAGGTCTTCTGCGAGCTCTCCATATTCGCTATCGTTGGTATAAACTTTTGAACCGAGAATCACGAGCCGTGTCTTTTTTCAAAGATCCACTGGATCCAAAGTGACACAAGCGGTCTTTAGCATATACTCCTTCCAAAAGGGTAACAAAATATCTATCGCGTCTCGTTGATGCTTTGAACTGACTCTTGCCTTGGCCTTTTGTGTGGGTTGGGCAACCTTTCCGGAGGTGAAATGTGGCTGTGCGAATACATTGGTTCGTTTTGGTTGCTTTTCGTCTTTAGGGATCGAGGTTTGTTCGTTGTTCGCGTTCATAGCAGATGAATGCTTGATAAAAATAAAAAACAAGCGAGGGACAAGTCTTTTTTATAACAAATTTGGGCAATGCATAATAATAATAATAATAATGCAGTTGCTAAACTTATATTTGGTAATGAGTTATGCAGATAATTTACAAGCACTCTACACATAATGCCGACAATACAAAGCAGGAATTTAGTAGATATGGCAACCTTTCCGGAGATGGCCCATCGTCGCAATGTTTCGACCGAGACATCATATGTCTCTTGGTAATCTTATTCTGAGCCAGGGTTGGTTTGTTTAAGAATGTGAGTTATAGTTAACCGTGTTTATTAAAATTTATCTCGCGTATTCTTTTTACTTAAGATGGACTTGTAAAGCGTATTTCGTGACTCGTATGATATGGATTTCGTATCAAAGCAGTTACTTTAGGCTTGTAGTTCAACCTTTTCCTAAAGGTTACGACATGAAAGAAACGAGTAGTCCAGTAATACATATTCTGTATTAAAATCAATTTTCGTTCTGTAAAGAGTATCTTTTAATTTCATCATTTCCGGTTTATTTTTATAATAATAAACAAGTTGACATTGCTTGAATGTATTCAATAAACCTGTCTAATTATTTAACTGTCCAATTAACTACTCATCTAATAAACAAGAATGCCATGAGTCTACTAGTAAATGGCAAATTTTAATTTACTCTGATGGTGGATCAACCATAACTCAGGTCTCGTCATAAACCCTATATTCTTCGACCTTGTAGACCTTGGGCGTTCTATCCTCTGATGGAATTAATCGATTGCTTCTATATGTCTTTTCATTATAATTGTCCACCTGTTTCGTCATCTTCCATTCGGATGTCGTAGCAGGCCATTGTGAAAAATGCTGACTGAGTTTCTCGTACAACAATCCTAATCGTTCGCAAACTTGTTCGCACGGTGGTCGTTCATCAGGATTTCCATCCCAGCATTTTGAATATAGTTCAATATACTCTCTTGGCGTTCCCGAAACGGCAGGATCACGCGAACCTTTCAGTCTGTACAGGACGATTTCGTAACTTTGAGTGCGTCCTTCACATGAAATGCTTCCACTTGAGATTTCCCAGAGTATTACCCCAAGACTAAAGATATCCGATCTCTTTCCGCGTCTAAACGACTCATCATTAAAAGACATGGGATCAATGTATGCTGTATTGCCTTCACCTCTTGATGTGGACATTGTTTGTTTTAATATGCTAGACAAGCCAAAGTCTGTTATCTTTGCGATACCATCCCGCACTAGGACATTAGTGGACGACTGTACATTCAAACAAGTATAAGTATCCAGTTGGGATGTAATTTCCCAAATGCATAGAAGAGAAATGAAACAACAATACTATACCAAATCTTTATGAATAATGTCGAGCTCATGCAGGTACATCAATCCACTTGCAACATCCAGACCTAGTTTGCATTTATTAACCCATGTTAAATCGTTAAAGTGTCCCGTCAAGTATGTACGCAGAGTACCATCGTCAGCAAATTCGAAGACCATAAGATAATGAGTAGTGTCTGTTGATACGCAATTATTATAAGAACGTGATAAGAACAAATCATAACTTTAAATACAGGTTTCAGCGGCATTAAATATACCTCTACATAGCCCTAAGAACCGAATGATGTTTGGATGAGCTTCAACTTTCCGATTATTCTCTAACTAAAGTATAGATCGATTGATGCTTTATCAGTTGGAAATCATTGAACAAAGCAATCGATGCTTACAACCAAAGCAGACAATAACCTCTTTGACAAACTTTTTGTATAATTGTTCTTCATCGATATATGCATCTGGAGAAAGTTTTTTTACTGCAACAATTGTTCCTGAGCGTTTTAGTTTTGCCTTATACACTAACGCAAATCCACCATGGCCGATAATTTGACGGTCTATAACTTCACTTTCTGAATAACATTCTATTGATCCTTCTTCAATAATTTTGTCCAACCGCTCCCTGCCAGATAATTGACTCTGAGGCATGATCGAAAGGAGCTACTGACTTGCCGCAAAGATGGTGTAGTTATGTCACCAAAATCTTGCGGTCCCGTGACATCCGATTTCCATCAGATTTTATTGTAGCAAGAGTTTAAAAAAATAGCGGTTGTATTGGCTTAATGTAATCTATAACAGCCTGGTTACTGTAACGGGTATATTTTTGTTAAAACAATGCGACTTGTATCCTTAAAAACGATCAACGCGTATTGATGTCAACATAATGAGAGATACAGTATGCATGCTAATTAATAACTTATACACTTACTTCCAAATACCCGAAAATCATAATTCAGAAATCAGTGCACTTTCTGCTTCATACAATATGGTACAATAAAAATGCTATCCGCGATTAAATGATTCGAGGGAAAAACGAGATTCGAAATTTGAGGATTATGAGGACTAATCTACCCGAAGATCTCCATTTCACTTTTACTTACATAATACAGTGCTGATTACTTAGAATATAATATAATGCGGTGGATTTCGTGACATTCCAAGCTGTGAAACGATTCAGTTTGACCGAGGTACTAATCAGATTGCAGTTTCTTTATTGTCGAAAAGCCTTCACGCTTTTTTGTATAAATAATACCCTTGACATCCCCCCTGTATTACCAGCTTCGCGTTGTGATATCGTGCCAAAAAAGTCCTTGGTAAAGCAATTAAGACAGCCTAATAATTTGGGATCGGATTGCTTACTCAAACAATACGTGTGGTCATACACGGATATAACGAAGGAGACGGTACAGACACTTTTCTTCGTTATATCGAGGGATTCGTTATATCCAGGTTTCATACATATATTTCTTATAGTAATACACATTGTTATATAAAGAAGTTCCGTTATGTCTTTATTGTAAACGTAATTCAAAATTGTTCGATATTTACAAATTCAAATTCATCAAGCGTT